GTCGTCGTCTTCGCAGTTGATATCGCCCATGCTCTGCGACGGGTCTTTGTCTCGCAGCCTACGTCGATCATCGACGGCAGTGAAAGACTGGCCTGCCAAGATGCCACGCCCTTCTCGCGGACTCGCCCTCAGAAACTGGTTCGTTAAGCCGAGTCTGTGGTCACCTCTTAAACCTGGCAGATGCAAGACTTCGCAAGGCCATATCCTTCGCAAGGCCATATCATCTTCAAGGACGCCTTGCGTATGCCTAGAGATGGCATGGCGATATGGATCGCACTCCGCCGGGGACATTTCGAAGATGACGTGGAACGCCGAGTGCGCTGGTAAATCCGGACGCTTCGCCAGCTGTCCAAGCAACGCTATCAAGCGTCGCACAAGAAGTGGATGGCGGAAACCTACCAGGCTAAGCAGGGTGCCGGGACGCTTGCAAGCCGTGAGACGTCATGGCCACTATCACCCATTTTTGGCTACGACGAGCGTCTCTTTCCACCAGGACGTCACGTGTCCTCGGGCGTCGATGACGCCGTTACAAACTTCAGCGATCGAGTCTTTCACCGCTTGCAACTGCAGACAAAACGATGAATGACGGTATGCGCGCCCGTGCAGCGTACTTGCCACCCCACGCCTGCAGCTTCTGCGCATTCACGCTGCACAAGTCGCGCGAGATTTCCGTGTGTTGCCTATTTTGGCTCCTGCTGCCTGAGTGAACTCAAGCGAGCGGTCACCCGTCCGACAAGCTGTGGTTCACCGATACCAGGAACACGCTGGCGCGACTTCGCGACTCTTGGTGTCATGGCGGGAACATTACTCGGGAGAAAAGCAACCTCGTGACTAAAGTCCTCGCCCAAGGTCTTCTAGAGCACTGGCAGTGCCGAGGACAATTTAGGGGTGAGGAGATAGAAGTCCTTGAATTGCTGGTTGCTCGCTTGATTCTAGGCAGGCCAGCATCATCCAGAAGATGAACTCGCGAACCAAGGTGTGATGTGAACTAGGGCCAATGCACGGTTCTGAACATTGTTTATATTTTGATAGATCGATTTTTCAGTGGTGTTAGGGTTGGATTTTCGGCGGATGTAATAAACGTCTTACGATGCGCATGGGTCTTTTACTTCGATAGCATGATTCGTCTCGGATTGCATACGTCAACGCCGCGTTGAGTTTAGATGTTCGGCAAAAGCTATGCTTCTAAATCGAATGTGCGCGCTTGGCGCACAGTAGATGGTGATACTTCTGTCAAGACACTGAAGGTATAACTTCCATGGGGAAGAACGAAACAGCTTAAAAACAAACGCGACCACTCTCGTCACTTTGTAGCGCGCCTACCACTACCGTAGACCCTCCTTACTAATCAAGATTGTGAAGTCAGCGCGATACTTTAGCGAGTCGAAATTATACCCTACCATTATTTTAGGATTTCTTGCGAGAGTGGGAAACCTGCATACCTTACTGGCCGCAACGTACACTATGTTTGGACTTATTCGTTCATCCTGCAGAAGTAATGAGGGATTTAATTCAGGTTTCTCTGTTTTTATACAAGATATTGCTTGTCATCTATTACTGCTTTTATTGAGAAGCCATAGCTTGATGTAATGTCCCGTTGAATGAGCAACATACTCCAAATAAACATTGTCATCTTAGAAACTCTATGTGGCATACTTCCATAAGAAATGTCATTTCAGTTTATGAAAAAACGAATGAATGAATGAATGAATGAATGAATGAATGAATGAATGAATGAATGAATGAATGAATGAATGAATGATAATCACCGTAAGATTCTTGAAGATATATGCGCTTGGTACATGGAAGCAGATCATTTTTTTTTTTCATATTGCTGTGTTGTGAAGGCATTAGAGATACAAGATATACCTGCGACGTAGATCAAAACGAGGGCTTGAGCCTCATCACTAGGTATTTATTTTTGTTCAATGCGTGAATAGAATGTTCCGTGCGTCAATATTTTCTTTCGTAACGCTCCACTAAAATACCAGTTTTCCGACCATCTACAAATTAGTATTCTGCCTCTCCTCCCCAATTGTCTCCTTGTTGAAAGGTCCCACATATGTTTATGACCCGCAAACAAAGCCATTTCACCAGCACGGTGCACGTGCCTGGTGCTGGATTAATTATAGCGAATGATTCATCATGTATGACGCCTCACATGCTTCCGCTCTCAGACGCGCGTACACGCACGGCAGCTGCAGAGGTTACTTCTCACAGCATATATACTTTTCGGGGAAGCTGGACGTCGTAGAATTCTTTCGGTCGTAGTTCTATACATTGAAGGGCAACGAGATTATTGTAGCATCGTTTCTCTGATGGCTACCTGGGCGCCTCCATCTTTTTTTTTTTTTTTGCATGCGGCAGAGCGAAATTCCTTTCTTCATTCTTTTTACAGTGAAAGTGCTCGAGCTATTAGTGGCGTGTGCTCCGTCATTCTAAAGTCCTGAGGTGAGTATGCGCCATAGCACATGGGAAAGCCCCGCTATACCGTGTACAGAAGGCGCGATGTGTAAAACGAAATTGAGTAAGCAAAAAAGAGATTGAGAAAAAGAGGACATAGAAAGAATATTTCGATGCAAAAATTTAGATCTGTCTTGTCTTTCTGTCTGTACATTTGTCTGTGTGTCCACCGTAACAATACCCCAAACGGCACTAAGTGAAACCCCAGACGGCCAACCCCATTCGCAGCGCCCTACAATATTGCTCAAGTGTCTGCGTTCATACTTGCGCGATTGCCAGTTAAAAAGCAATTGTTGGGCATATAAGAGGTACCATAACAACGCGCCAATATTTTGTATGTGTGTCTTTATACTAGGGAAGCCACACATATGAGCAATTATAAGAACCGTAGCGTTTATCACGCTGCGCTGACAGTGCAACGCGATTCTCAAAAAGGCAACGCTTTGCTAAGACGACACGGTGGTGGCACCTGCCCGTCGCTTTGCGTTCTACACCTTATCTCCTCCGAGACAGGCTTGCATCTTTCTCCGTTTTCGTAGATAACTGCCAGATGGCGCCCGTGTCTATTGTGTTTTGATGCACTCGTTCGCCTTCACTGCATGGATCCAGACTCAACGCAGCGATTCCAGAAAACAATTCACCGATTTTCTCGCGCAGAACATCAAATAAAAGCTTTGTTTACTGCGTCCACACGCACGACTATTGTATTTCGACGACATTTGCTGTGAAACATGCATATACGGGGCCATTTTGTTCCCCGGGCGTCAATTCCTGACCAAGCGTATATATCTTTATTTCTGTTATTTTTTGGGGGGGGGGGGGGGGCATGTTTTGTAGGAGAAAGTTACGTCATCGGTGAGAGGAGCTGTATGGAAGTGCTCCATATCATTCTACGCATTGTGAAAAGGGTGTAAATTATGAAAAGAGTGTAAAAAATTGAGTATTTCGGCATAGTGTTTCCACCACGACACCATAATCATTATTTATTTCGCGTAGTTTCCTCGCGTTACCACCACTGTTCCAATATATAGATCGCGGTCACGAACAGAACGCGTTCTCAGTGGACATATAGCACTGTCGACAAAAATGTGGCCAGAGCCGGGTTTTCTGAAAAAGGAAACGCGAGTAAGTCAGATGATGATCATTATTGTGTAACAAAAACACCCCCGAAATATTCGATTTTCTTTTTTAGAATGTACATTTCGCAGTACGTTCTCCGTATTGGATACCTATGCAAGTTTTATCTTTAAATCACTCTATGGAGAACAAAAATAAATCAGTAAATAAATCACGTCTATGGAGGCGCACCACATTTAGGTTTCACAGTACGTTACCCTTACTTGCAATGCCCGCATATGCAATATCTTACACCCTCCGAAGTGCATGTAAATATGTATTTTGCTCTTCCGATTATTGAACATTGGCTGATCTAACAGGTGTCCGTGTATTTATTCACAATACAGGTAACGCGCGAAATCCACGCACGTCGGACGGCCCTCTTTTCCGAGAGAAAATTTTGTGTGCCAGGCCCTGAGTACTTTTCCTTTGTTGAAAGCCCTTATCCATCCTTACGAGTCTGCCAAAGCGCGCTGAAAATGACGTTAACCAAATACGCTAATTACCACCACTTTTCTATATGCGCGCGCCCCGCCATCCGATCTCGTCTTCAAGAGGGAAGACAAATCCAAAATAAGCCCGCCGCTCCGTCACTCATCCAAACATTCCCTAGTTCTCTAGACTGCGTAACAAGACCTCAGCACCACGAAAAGTGACACGCATTGTAGTTTACGAGTAAATAAATGAAAGATGTTTCCCTCTCTCGACAAGCGATCACGAGCCTTGACGCCCACGCACTGACCGCCCAGTTTCCATTACTCTTCGCAATCGTCCACCGTCGGGTAAGTCATTTCAATTCTGGCTATTTGAGAGGGGCAAGCTTCTGAAGTGGGTGGCACACCGGGACGGTGCCTCCCCCCCGCCCCCCGAAATTTTTTTTAGCGATGACATAGATAGAGCTGAAAATTACCACTTCAAGGAGGTGCTCCTCTATCTCCCCCCCTCCATCTGAAATCAAGGAGGTGCCCCTCCCGAGAAACATTTCTGGCTGCGCCCCTGCAAGTGTGGCGAGTGAAGCTTCCAGAAGTGGTGGGCTGCCACCAGACTAAAAGGAGGCGGCAACTTCAAGTGCCTGTGATACCGCAGTAGTCTGAGCGCTTGCGGTCGCGTGTTTTATCAAACATGATGAACGCCTCTTTGTTTCGGGGCACTTCGAGCGTACCTGTATATTTGTATGGCCGACTATTTCTCAGTGCTCTCACGGCCATTTCTTCGAGATGATGTATACGAAATTTTGCACGGCATAAGACTGGTGCTGGACTGGTGCAAGCTCAGTCCAGCCACTTGCTGGATCGCTCTAGACAAGCTCTAGACAGATTCAGGCTATAGATATGTCACTCAAGAATGTCACTCAAGTTCCCCGAAGAGCCCAATAAAACTGAGTGACCACCTCGAGTTTGAACAGACCATGACAAAGAGGCTTTATATCTTTGAATGTTTATTCGCACTCTTTATGCACTGTATCTCCACATGTGTTTGATAAAAAAACTTGTCTTACAATCCAACACACAGTAACGAAAATTGCAAGAAAGAAAAGAAAACATAACTGGCACACGGGGCAAGCTGGCAGAACGAACAAAATTCTGTTGACTGTTTAAAAGCAGCCGGGACATCAACCTACTTGAATGATAAAATGGCATCACGACAATTCTGAACAAATGAGGCGAGAAAATTAAAAGGACAGAACAACATCAAAGTGCGAGACAGTGTAAAAATCTAAAATACTTGTGCCTCAAAGCAATTAAAATAGAGTTAAATATTTGCGACAATTTGATGCGTTGTGATGCCGGAACTCCTTGCAAGGTAACTAACCGGCATGCCGAATCGATCGCCTGAAAACGGTGAACTATGACACATTTTGCCAGATGAACATTAACTGAACCCAGAGAGAACACTCGGCATAGCAGATGAACTTGTACCAATGGGACACACTTGTGCCATCGGGTTCATAAATACATCGGCTGGTCGTGAAAATTTCATTCACTTCAGCATGACGCACAGTCTAACGGGACGACATGGCTTTTTTTGGTAGTCAAAAGCCTTTGCTGCGCACCGCTTCGTAGAAGCTGTGCCCACATGCACAATCATTATAATCATTCGATTTGTGGGGCAAGTCGACAGACATACCGAAAGTTGTCCCAAAATGCAAACATTCCAAAACGTGCATCTAAAGAGCAAAACTGGCTAATTTGTCCCAGTGAGGACATTTGAAAAACATTCATTCAGGTTTCACTTTCAATAATGCAGTAGAAAGGACATTGCATACACACAGCATAAAAAAAGGCTCATTACAATGTGTTGGATATTGAGCTCAGCCAAACAACTCACGCAATTAAAACATTTCTCGTTAAAAAAAAAAAGAACGAACAAACAAAAAGTGAGAAAGCATGTTTGCTGAAGCCTACAACCATGAAAGCAGAGTACAATTATTTGAACAGACAAAGAAGACTGGGCAGAAAAGCAAATAAGAAGCTTGCCTAGTAAAAAATTTACATATAACCCTGGGCCTTCACATCATACATGTGAAAAAAATCCTATCATTGAACCGGGTATTCAAAAACAATATTTCTTCAAAAACAGGAATGTAGGCAAGCCTCTAAAACTATATTCCTTCTTCTGCAACAGTGTCTAACAGAGTCACAATATACGCATCCTTTAAACCGGGAACTAGAATAAATATACTGCAAGCTAAACAAAAGTGACACTCCCAGAAACAATGTAAATTAACATAACACATTAATCACTCCAGATGAACATAGAGGAAAAGACGAACTTCATAATAAGCGTGCACTCCAAAAGGAGGTCGTACTTGGAACATAATTCTGTTGCAAAGCAATCACCATCACCTGGCCTGCTTATACCTCTAGAATACTGTCACAATGATAGCACGCACGTGGTTTGTGACCTGGAAGTTCCAGAACGTGGCGATAATGCCAGAAAAGGCTTGCAAGATAGCTGACAGACGTAGCGACAGAAAGATACTCCAAGCACGCAACGCCCGACCCTAATATTTTTTTTTAGCACAGTATATCGCTTGCTGGAGCAAAAAACAATAAGTTAACAAGGCCAGGAAGACGAAACTAGCACAAACACATGTTCGAACTAGACGAATGCATGGTTGAACTAGGCAAGAGTAACGGAACTTTTTAACTAAATGCATCATACATAAGCAGAGACCATTTTTTGCTAAATTTAGCAATTACAAAATAAAAAGGAGGAACAGGTTCTAGTATTATGCCACAGAAAAAGTGTTTTGATATCGATGTAGAAAGGGTGTGTCTAGTTAGCAGGAACATCATGATATTGCAAGGACCAGCGAGTCAAGATATCGAAATTGTGGCGTCCAAACTAGACTGTAATCCTTTCGCACAGGGTGAAGCAGAGAAGTTTTGACTACAAAGCAACAAACGAAACAGAGAAACAAACAACATCAGCACTAGGTCAAGAAGTAGAGAAGAAGAAGGCAACTGCAAAAACAGGAACTTCAAAATGTTGCAACACTGCCACGCAACGCTGCGTAGTAGAATTGTTGAAGCCTATTGACAACTGCTCGTTTATCGAAATGGTGTCCAGTCAATGTACTGTGCAATTAAAAGAACTTTAGATAACCCATTTGTCGTTTCTAAAAATAAATTAAGTCCGAAGGAACATTTGAAGATAGGCCAAGTGGGGTATGCAACTTGCATTCCTGCAAAGACATGTTCGTTGGCAGCGAAACAAAATAGACGTTCAACAGACGATAGCCAGTACAACTTGTGCGGCTAGAAAAAAAGGCCAGAAAAAGCCATTCTAGGAATACATAATACCTAAACTCTCAATACTAAAGGAACACAGAAAAGTGAAAAAAACAAACAAAGGGATCATAATACTTAACACTGAATTAGAGAACAAAAGTAATCCTACTAGTACATCGAAAACTGTCTCCCAGTCGCCTATATGTACAAATTTGGCTTGCTATTCGATACAGTACAGCACCAGCAACACTTGGACGTAAGAAAAAAAAAAGAGAGATCAGTGTGTAAATTTTTTTTCACGTTTTTACAAACAGTATGTCACGAACACACCCTAGATTCGCAGCTTGCAGAATTCTGGTATATCACGAGTTGTTTCATACCAAAGTCACACCTTACAGATTTCGTAACATTTCTTTCCCTCGTTCTCTCTTTTTCGCTTATTCCTTTGACCTTACAGTACAACACACACGGATACTCCAGACCTCCACTCGTCTTGACCAGCAAGAGATAACCAACTGAACTAGAACTCCCTTTTCCAGAAATAAATATGAAACGAGTGTGCCAGGAAAAAAAAAAAACGAGCCAACGCTGCAAGGCCAAGTCGCAAGAACAAAACTGCCACTTCTAGAACTGCCACTTCAAGAGAGCACTGACGGGTTGCCTATCTATTCTTATATCATGCACAAAGAATGGATTGAAACGATGCTCGATGCTGCCAGATCAGGCTCTTAATAGGTTCCACAGTGCTGCCAGACATATTGCAGTTCACTTTCTGCAAACCTCGACGCATGAGAGACAAAGTTTAAACATTTTCAAGCAGACGGTGCCCCTACTGATGTTTCAAGAATTCTTTATGCCAACAGACAGGCAAATCTGTCAGAGTGGCTCCATGATTTTGAAAAACATGTTTGTCCACTTTCTGTGAGACTAGAGAATGCCCCGTGCAGTTTCACACAGTACGAGGCGTGCTCGAAAATTTCAGCCAAGCGTAGCAGATCAAATTGTAGAGAGACATTGTGTGGACTTGCGCGACGGCTACAAAAGGCTATATTTTAAACTATAAATTTTCAGAGGACGAGGTTATTAAAATTTGCTGGTGTACTGAGCGTTTCCCTTAGTTTTGAAAATTATAAGAAAAATCAATTTTTTTACGAAAGCTCAGGAAAGCCGTCATCACTGAGCAGCAGCAAACATTTTGCAAGTGCATCTGCCAATCGTGCACTGCCAACTTCATACTAAATAAATGTGGAGACACTAAGTATTGCTGCTCTAAACAGCACTGCATTTGAAAATTCAACACCTCGGCATCGCAGGCTTGCATATGCATAACTTTGAATCTTATGAATGGCACTGAGGGACATACCGTTCGCAAAACAAACACTGGCGCATCGTCATGTAGCTGCGAATCACTACCGCTAATCCAATGTTGTTGCAATTGAACATGTGGCAAGCAACCAGACATCTCTAGAAACAGAGCCTCACCCACACAACATCCAACAACATGCACAGCAAGAACGGCCTTTGGTGTGAAAAGGTAGAAAAAAAAACGATAGCGTAAAACGAAATGTGTCATCAGTTCTCAAAAAGCTAGGACTACAATAAAAGATTAAAGTTTGATACAATATTTCTCATGCAAAACTGTATTCCTAACTCCTGCGAAACGAGAGAGCTCAATCACAATCTTAACACACACACACATGCACACACACACACACACAAGAAGCAAATACCAAGTTGTGTTTTAAGTGCACAAAGAAATTGTACTCCTCTTCACTATAAACATCACAGACTCGACACATTAGAGGTCCTTCACAAGGGAGTGCAAGAGAAAAAGAAAAAGGCTCCACCACACTGCATCACCCTCCAGCCCCGCAGTAATTAAGTCTGTCGGCAATTCGTCTTACAATTACGCAGTAGTACACACAATACTGGCTCACGCAGGGATTGTTGCACGTCCGCACACAAGAAACTGCGACACTGACAGCTAGGGACAAGAGTACCACCGAGCATTACGTCGTCTCCAAAGAGTACAAACATGCACAGAAAAAGCCTTCAATATCCTGTAAAAAAGGCGTCTTCATTTGTAAGGCAAGAATTGAAAACCCCATCCACAGCGTACTACGAAGTACCTGCGTCCTCTGTCACTCTCTCATGCGCCATTCTAGAAATCGCGCGACACCAGCTAGGAATGCTCCTGCACGCGCGCCTTCTATCCAGATTGATGTCTCTAAGTAGAAAATGGGGCATTGTGGGAGTAAATACAAAGCATACTCCTGAAAACATCCCCCTATGATAACTCCCTTCGACTGTAGGAGTAAATCCAAAAGGTACTCCTCCAAAACAACCTCTGGCAACTCCCTTCTACCATGAGAGTAAATCTGAAATGTACTCCTTGAAAACACCCTCCATGAAAAATCCCTTCCACAGAGTTAATGGAAAGAACGAATTTCTCTCCCTTTCACCGGCGAGTAGGGCGAGTTGTGTGAGGACACCCCGAACTACCCAGAGTACTGAGCAACTAGCTTGAAAACATTAAAGAGGCTTTGCCGCTATTGTTGACACATTGCGCTCTGGAAGCTGACACTTTATTCTTTTTGTTGACACATTGCGCTCTGGAAGCTGACACTTTATTCTTTTATGCTTGCCGCTACCGTTAACATTAAACAAAAGTTTGAGGTTGAAGCTGACATGTGCCTCGGTGAAGGTAAACACTCTCTGCAAATACCATGTTGAGAAACACAAATGCGATCACCAAACTACAATCATAATTTACGAAGTGGAACGAATAGCATTGCGATATCGTTATTACTCAGTGTCATTCTAAGGATACAGTTAGGCTAGAAACAAGAAAGGAAAGACTACGAAACAAAAGTGGACTTCTAAGTAACACATGTAAACTGCACAAAGACTTCCCAACGCATCCCACCCAATGTGCAAATCAGAACACACCTTGAGAATGACCCCGACGTTCAAAGTCATCCTCACAAAAAACATGCACCAATGCAGCAGCAGTATGTCATAACAAATGATAAAACACTTTGCAACGTTAAATCTGTGCATGGCGACTACGCTACAACGAGTACAGGCATCTGATGGGGCCACCAAGCACAAATGCATGACAAACAAAATGCATCACTGCACATTTAATCCTTACATTTCTCGCGCATTAAAAAAGTATGTCAAAGAATCATTTGCTAAAAACATTGTAAAAGAGAAAGAAAAGATGTGTGATCCTCGGCACGAAAAAATGTCTGTTCGTCCCTCGTTGCTCCAATGGCGCGTCGATCGATATTTTTGGCGGTAGCGACTTGTAGAGAAAATGGAGATGCGTACGACGACGTTTCAAGTCTCGTACCGAATGGCAGCAGACAGAAGAACAGGAGGTTTGCAGTCCTTATCTCCGGTTTAATTCGACCTTGATAGCTAAGGGCGTCGAAAAAGAAATGCAGAGGAAAGAGAAATTTAGCAGCTCATTAGCAGTTCATTAACTTGCAATAAAAATGATCTAAGACAGACACAATAAAGAAGACTTATTTGGCATATCATGCATTGCACATAATGCATGCAGTGGTTTACAGCCTGAAGTCAAAACTCAGGCAGAATTTTCATACGAGCTGGATAAGTTTTTGTAGCTTATCAGCCCCAAAATGTGTTACAAAAGTGAAAAGGCAATGACAGTTAAGAGTGACAAGTGTTCAATGCTTACCCCAATTATAGCTACAAAGAAAAGGCAATTTTTTATATGAGTAGTTATTAAAATTCGTGTGTTGCAAAACGTTAAATGCAAGCAACTTCACGATGCGAAGGCATAAACAATGTACACAATCCACAAAGGCATCATTAAACAATTACACTATAGAGCCTCAGTTATACAAACCCGGCTTGTACAGATTTCGAGGTGACACGAATTTTTCTGTGAAGATAAAAACAGCGCCGATGGCCTGTACGGTCGATGCAAGCCAATGCTTGCCCCGCAACATTTTACACGAACATACACTGCCTCACAGACACGAAAAAAAGCTGCCCATGAGGTTGCAGAAGACATGGCAATCGTGCGTGGGCGTGGTACCCTGGTGTGAGCATGCACACCCCGCCAGTGCTTCGGTGGATTGTCAGCATTGCCATCAGCAGCCTGTCGTATCCTCCGAGATCACGCACGCAAATTTTGGAGGCCCTAATGCACCTACATGTGTTTTCACTTTTAGATTACAAGTGGCACTGGTGCCACATTTTCTTTTTTTTTCCCCTCAACGTCCTATGCTGGTACGACTGCAAATCTTGTAAAAAGAGAAATAAAACCTTACCCTACTCTAAAGTGGCACTGGTGCCACATTTTCTTTTTTTTCCCCTCAACGTCCTATGCTGGTACGACTGCAAATCTTGTAAAAAGAGAAATAAAACCTTACCTTACTCTAAAGGGATCAGCATAACAATAAAACATGAGTCACAAAATTTTATGGTTTTCATATATCACTATAAAGCACCTAAGTCATTTCCACTGTAGTATTCTGGTGTCATGCAAGAAAGTGTACTAAAATTAAGAAGGCGCTATTGTCTCTCGTGTGTTACAGCACATTTTGTCCCTATAAATACGAAGGCGCACAGGAGTTCATGTGAACCAGTATGACTGCAGAAAAGTAAAAACTTTGTTTAGTCGTGTGTGTCTGTCTATGATGATGTGGCCCCAAAAATATTTAATTAAAATACAGACCTGTTTTTTTTTTTTGTCACACGCCAATTTTCTGTCTTTTTGTTGATATGAATCTCATACGAAATATTTTTTCCCACCCCATGATATTCATATCAACAAAGTTTAGCTCTAAATAAATGACTAATGTGCCATGCTGAACATACAGCACTGCTCCAACGTGACAGTCGCCACAGGAGAGCAGGAGAATGTTCTTATGGTGGCCAACATCTGAGCCTTTGGCTTTTGTCAGATGATGATGCAAATGTCTGCCACTGGCTGAACACTGCTAAGGTGATAAGGCGCCCATAAAATGCTATAGGCAACCTGGTTTACCAATTGAGCACGTCACAGCCACACGTTAAAAGTGCGCAACTGTACACCCAGCTTCTTTTATAATGTTTGCGGGCTTTACTTGCAACTTGTAAGAAAAGACTATGCGAGACATATCGTGAGAGAAATAATTGAGTCACTCACTTCTGAAAGTTCTTTACGAGTCTGCAATCGTACTTTAAGTCTCCAGCTAAGAATTCAAAATTTGAATAGCTTAAACAAAATTGATGATTTCAGGAGAAAAGTAAGAATGCATTGTGTAACTATGGCTATAGTGAAGAGCATGAGCTTAGTTCAATTTTCTTCCAACATGCCTTTGACATTTGAAGCCTCGGCTCAAATTATGTGGGACAAGCTGTATTTATGCACATATCTTGATTACTTTCTAAAAACGAAATCTATGGATATGGACTTTTGTATTGTCATAGCAATTTTATGAACAGTTTCAGCTGGTTTTTTCTGTCACCACCGCCGTCATTCATATATATGTATATACAGTGAAAGCTCGTTAATTCACACCTTATTAATTCGAAATTTTGGATAATTCGAAATGGTCGCCGCAGTCCGGTCTGCAGTGCATAGGAGACCATGTGTAAAACGATTCGTTGATTCGAACAGAAATTGCTGCCTCTACGGATAATTCGAAGCGCGCGCCGCCGAGCGTCATCATCGTGAAACACTAGTGGAAGCTTTTACGGTCGAACGATAGGTGGCACGACCAGTTTTTTTGAGCTTCAAGTGGCCTCCGAGCAAAGGGCGAGCAAAGTATGGCCTCCAAAATCCAGGGAGCAATTTTTTTTTTTTTTTTCGTAGCCTTCCCGCTATCTCAGCGCCTGGCGCCACTTGTACGCGGGACCCACGGGACGCTGAGGAGCCGGCGGAGTAGTCCTAGCAGTCCTAGGCCGCTCCCGGCAGCGTCACTTTGTTCCTCGAGCACGTTGTTCGTTCACGCCATGCACATGTTGGTGCGCGCATGGGAACAGGTGACCGCGACCACAATCGCAAACTGTTTCCGCCACAGTGGATTTGCAGCTGGAAGTGCGCAGGATAGTTGTGACGTCGACGTGGATGGGGCTGAGGAGCTCATGCCAGTGGCATTGCGCGACACTCTTCGGGGCGTACGTTTTGCCGATTATGTTGAAGTTGACACCGGTGCATCGGTGTGTGGTGCCCTGACTGATGAGGACATTATCGCTCAAGTAGCCCGTGCGCAGCCTGATGCTGAAGAGCCAGAAGGTGAGGAAGACGAAAATGACGAAGCGCCTGTGCACCCGTCAGCTTCTGCGGTGATGGAGGCACTTAATGTGGCGCGTCTCTTCTTCAGCTTTGAAGAGGGTGAAGAGGATTCCCTGCGCCGCGTCCGCGCGCTGGAACAGAGAGCCGCAGCTGTGGCATTCAGAGAAAAGAGGCAGATGGTCATCACCGACTTTTTTGGCCAATAAATATTTTTCGTGACCCCACCCCCGAAATCCACCCATTTTTGCTCACTTTCATTATTTCGAATTTTGTTTAATTCGAAATCGCTCAGCGTTCCCGTGGAATTGGAATTAACGAGCTTTTACTGTATATATATACTATATGTAAGAAACGATGCGCTAGCCTCCTCTTTCTGCGGAGCGAACATCGCCTTTCCGGCCGGGCTTGTCTGCGCGCGTGCTTATCTCGCCAGGGAACGGGGGGGGGGGGGGGGGGGGGCACTCATGGTTGTGCCCTGCTATCGCAGCAACGATTAGCACACGCCTTGTGCCTCCACAGCAAGCAGGAGCTTCCGCGGGCTGCGCTCTCAACGTGAAAAAAACGGTGCCAAAAGCCTACCTGGAGCGGCCGTGTATTCTTATACCAGCATTTTGTAGAGTTACGCGAGATCAGATCTAAATGAGTTTATTGCCAGCCTCACTTCGTATATCAATGCCGTCACTACACACGAGCCTTGTTGTGGTCATCTACAGTGGCTGCGCCACAGAAAACTTGGTTGCTTAGCAAGTGCATGTTTACTGGAATTAATACTGCTCCTAAAAATGCTAGCCTTGCTTTGTAAAAAATTAGAAACTCCGCTACAACGAACGCTGCTTCAACGAGGTTTCTGCTACAACGAAAAATTCATGATTCCCTGCCAGCAGTCCATAGGAGTCAATGCATAAATACTGTCTCCACAACGAACACTTTTTCTTCTGTCGTCCCACTTCTACGAAATTTCACGATGCGATTCAAGGCTCAGATACTTATTGCTATGCACTAAACCCAATCTTTAACATTTCGATGCATTTACAGAGCCTTAAAATGTGTCGACGAAGTCTAAAACACGCGTTGGCACCACCAGAAACCGCCTCTGTTCAGCAAGCATGAGGGCTGCCATTGCTCAGTAGCGATGGCAATGAGATTGCCCAGCTTTTGCCACTGGCTTGCAGTAAAAGCAAGTCCCAGGCTTGCTTTTGAGTCGCAGATGATCCGAAGCTGAAGCTTAGTCGCTCAGTTCATGGTTTCCTTCATGGAGCTGCTGGGTGCAATAGCAGAAGGATGCCTTTTCCAATGCTTATCATTATGTTCGCGCTTGGCCAGTGTGTTAACTAATCAGAGCGGCTGTTGGCCAGTGTGTTAACTAATCAGAGTGGCTGTTGGCCAGTGTGTTAACTAATCAGAGCGGCTGTTCGTCCGCATTATCAACAAAATCAGCTAATCACGAGTGAGAGATGATAAGAACGGCATAGAAGTTGCCGCTACATGATACCCTGCCTCCATCTCGGCATTGTCGGACACATGTTGATGGCGGACAGCTGCTGGTGTTAACGTGTTTATGCAGCTGTTTGGTTCGTTCACAAAAGCGGTTTTAGGCATTGTTTTAGCGTGCTTTTCACCATGGCCTCGCTATGCATGGGTGAGAATCACGTTGTCACGCTGCTGGGAAAGAATTGGAAGCAGCAGACACTTCCTAAATTTTGAGAATGAACGTTTCTTTGTCTTGCTAGCTCAGATCAGCTGTATTTTTTTTTTAATTTTGCTACAACAAAATTTTCGCTTCAACAAAATTTTTCAACAAAGTTCCGCACCCCGTAAGTTTCGTTGTAGTGGATTTCAACTGTATGTTGCTATCACAATCAGTGCTCCGCCCTTTTGGCAAAACTGTGACTTTTTTCACTAATGTCCTTCAAAATAACAAAGCTGTATTAGAGTTACATAACGGGTGCCAATAATGATACTAGTGCAGTGGCAGATGTATGTACCAATGAAACAAGAAAAATTTCATGCAATGACAAGAGTGTAATTAAGTTGATTATTACAAAGCACGCAGCGTGGTTCAGTGAAAACACTCACCCTCAATGATTTCCTGCTTCATCTTGCTGACCTCGCGGCGGATTTCGGACATGATCTCCTGCTTGAGCTTGTCCATGTCGAGCAAGTCTACACCATTCACCTTCATGACGTCTGCGTCACCCAGCGACCCAATGCGCTGCCTGAAAACATTTAAAAAAAAGGCAGTAGTGAAATGATGGTGAGAAAGTGAAGCGCAAAAGTGGATCAACACACTCACTCACTGACCTTACACTTGCTCAAAGGGGTACTGACACAAAATTTCGGGGCCGAGATAGCTTGAGGGGTCGATTCTCCTGAACATTCGTATATCATTTGCAAGATATCAACAGTGAATAGAGCTTGTAAGGTATTTTAAATTCATTTTGAAGTTTGCGTGGGCGACCGACTCCATAGCACTATAGACACCATAGGAGGGGACCCCGAAGTGACCCCCCTACTTCCCTCACGGCACCATGCTACAACGAAACAAGTTTTGATGATGTCACAGCCGTCTTTTTTTTTTTTTTTTGCCGCGTTAGTTCCCGCAGTCTATATTTCTCGGCGGCTGGTTGTGAGTGCGTGGCTGTGGCGCACGCTTAGAAAGTTATGTGTTTGGCAACATTCCAGTCCCGTTTCCTATTCGAAAGTAATTCTTTATGCGGACCGTGCAGAAGTGCGTCACAGTTTTGTGTGCTGACCTGGTCAAGAGCTGCACACGCTAGGTGGCGACAGTTGCACTCAGTTTTTGGAACTTGCTGAAACCGAAACTGAAACTGATTGATAATGAGGGGCCTGTAATTAATTATCTGTCACGTGCTGTAGCAAACGACGTGTCGTGTAATGACTAACAGGCCGCCATCAATGCATCAATGCATTGCAGCAGAAAAACGCGAGGCCAAGGTTTTTGTGTCAGTGCCCCTTTAACAATATTTGACATACGCCAGAGTAAGTGAAAACGAGTGATGAAAGGTGCGACAAGGCCTTCGTGTAAGTGGCAATGAGTGCCAGTTATAAATTGAGAACAGTGAAACTTGAGCGACTGTGGGTAAATGAGAGTGGACGTGCGTGCCGGAAGTTTAGCAAAGTGAAAAAAAAAAAAAAGACAGAGAGAGTGACGAACTCACCCGCGTCCTGACTTTGGTGACTCGGCACCGCTGCCAGCCACTTTGCTGGGGCTGTTGCCATTGGTCGAACCCTGCTTGTCCCACGTTCTCCGCGAATCTGATGACGACTCAGCCTCCTAAAAAAGAATTGTGTGTTCAGGGACAGAAACTGTGAGCTGTTAATAAAGGCCTTCACTGTACCTTATGGAAAATCCACACTTCAAAGGAGCACAGATGAAGATTTCACACCTCGTATTTTCCGTAGCAATAAGTAGCTAATGACCTGCTTATGACAGCTGAAGAACTCATTCACTCAAGCGTGCGACAGTTTATTTGAAGGCTGTTTCGCAGTTTTGCTTTCAGAGAGCACTGGGTGAGGAGGGACCCAAAATAGCTTTCCTGCAACGTAACTGACTACTGGTTTTCTGTGCATCAAGACGGCATTATTTAAAAATTTATACTGCTGCTTACAATCAATGCCGTACGTGACTGCACATTTTACAATGAACATACTTCATGTGCACTGCTGTGTTTTAACACGCTGGCAAAGTTAAAATTAGGGGCACTTTAGATATCATTTTTCCCATGAGAGTCGTAAAAAGTAGAGGGTGCGACTTATACAATGAAGTGACTTTTACGTTTGAAAATAAAGTACTTGATTTGAAATATGTTGTAGGTTATATTAGCTGTTGACATTTTGCAAATGATGTGCGTGTGTTCGCGCAAGTCTATCCCATAATTTATCTCACCTTCGAAATTGCGTTGCCAGTAATCCTTTACGAAAAAGTATAAAGAAAAAAAAAACGCATTGTTAATCTGAGCCAAAAGTTAGCAGATCCCAACAGCCATAAAAATGCAGAGGTAAAATGAACACACAGTGTAGGCAACAAAATGCACCTGAAGGTTCGATGCACTGGCATTCCCGTTTACTTGCAAATATTTCACACGTAGTACACTAGGCCACAATTAGTTTTGCAGTAGCATGCAGGGCTTATAAATTTCCGTCTCCCACTGTGCATGTTTTGATATGCATTTGCTTTCACTTACCTTTTTCTTTGTTTGAAACAATACCAAATCCCTCTTTATGTATGAAATAGTCAACTGCAGATTTTTCGGACACCCGAATTTTCGGCGATAATTCGGACATCTTCGCGGCACTGCCACGAGCCCCATAGAATCAATGTATAAAGAAGTCTGAAATTTCGGATGCTCAAACCCCACGGAATCCAATTTTCCTGACTTTTTCACACGACAGAAGGTCGGAAACCACCACCGACCACCAGTGGAAACCACCACAACTGCGTCACATGCGATTACAATCGCATAAATGAGTGCCCTGGTCTACTGTGGCGGCATCTGTTCCTTGAACGCGTTGATCGTTAGCGGAGAAACACACACGGCCTCTGAGATTCCTAACACTGGCTGTGTTTATCGTGCAAAGGTGCTTCGCTAACAATCGAAACTATCCACCTGGAAATTTTTTGCCACCAATAAAGTTCCTTTGGCTTTAGCACTTGTGCTTGTGCGTGCCACTCTGGCTTCTCGCGCAGCGCTTTCGTAAAGCCTTTCACCACTTCGAACTAGAACTAACCGTTACACACCGATTTGGTCTAGCCACACTGGCTATCTTGAATGTTTACCAGCGCCATCTCCGGAGTACCCGAAGCACCGTGGCTTGCCGACGCGCGGTTTGGTTTACGCAGCCCACATGGTGTTTGGCTAGCCTTGTGCGTGGTTGTGCGATCGTGTAAAGTGTGCTCTGCAACGCTAAGCCTAAGTGCTTCGACGCTCGTCAGCAGACTCCTTTGTTCACATCGTGAGGATTTTGCTTGACTGCAATGGCCCCCACTACACCTTTGTCGTTCTCGCTAATGGCATTGAAGCACGGAAAACAGTACCGTCGGTTAACGATGGAGAAGAAAGCCGCTGTTATCAAGTTAGTGAAGAGTGGCCGATCACAGGCTGACGTGAGCAAGGAGTTTGGCATTTCCAAGCAAACAGTTTCAGATTTCCTGAGTAACAAAGACAAGATCTTGGAAGCGGCCGAAAAACCATCTGGTGCCCAAAAGATGAATGCAAGCCAAGGTGTTCATCCAAAGCTTGAGGACGCTCTCGTGTGGCTTAATTCAATGATTGGCAAGCGGTGTCCAGTATCGGGCTGCATCTTGAAACAAAAAGCGGAAACTTTCGCCCTTCGAATGGACATCACGGATTTGAAGTTCAGTGATGGATCGCTGAGAAACTTGATCTTCTTGATCTGAGAAATATCAATGAAATGGTGCGTTTTTTGCTTGCATTGAGAAATATTAGCAAAATGGTGCGTTTTTTTTTTTTGCTTGAATTGAAAGTTATCAGTAAAATAATGCATTTTTTTTTCTTGTATTCATTTTTTCGGACTGCCCGAATTTTCGGATGGTTTTTCTCTCCCCAGAGGGTCCGAAAAATCGGCAGTTGACAGTACTGTAGTAATCCTTCCTTGCAGCTGTAATGTCAGTGCGGCTAACTTTTAAGCAACGCAAGATTTTATTGCAGCTGTACTCTAAGGTAAATACAAATTCATAATGTGAACCGATTCGACGCTGTGCTGGCCTAAGACTGTAATAAATAAACTAAATGAATGATAAGCCACAAAACAGTTGAGAAGTCTCAATTCGCTTTCACCACCCATACTCTACAAACACAGGAGTGTTTTTGTGCTTTTATTCTTCATCGTTTTGTATTTTTATTGTTTAATCGTTGCATCTATCACAGTGTCACTGCCACAACCACACAATTACAGCAACACTAGAGCGGTAGAAAGCTTGCCTACCGGTCAGCAACATTTTTTTAGAGGAATCAATTGTGATTCACATACGATGTATCTCATTTTTTTGTAATGTTTCATACGGAAGTTTTCCATTTGTCAATTTCTGTTGCTGCTATTCATCGAGACTCTGCAATCTTACGTTCATAGCTCAAAAATATTTGTCAATCATTCAAGAATTAACTATACGGAAGCATGCAAGATCACAAAGTAAGCAACAACCTTGTTCAACTTCATTTGTCGATAATAAAAGATCGAATACAAAAGTAAGTAGTGCAGGCGGTCATGCCAGCCTGTTTTGCCTACCTCAATTTCGAAAAAGCTCTGAAAAGTCAAAAGGACAGGCATGCGACGCTTTGAAAGACGAACTTTTTGAACAATACAAGTGTTCAAAAAAATATGCCGCATAAAAAAAAGAAGTGGTACAAAGCGCACACAACTGAGCATCTAAAAAATGCCCGATCCACATGGACATAGCAGTCAGCACGTAAAATGCTACGTACAACACCAAATGACTGGGCATGTGCAAATGTCCGAGTTTTCAAATATTTGAACGAATATTGTGGTATTCGAATTCGCTTTGACACGAATTTGAAGTATTCGAAATGATAACGTAGGCGCATATTAAACAGCATGTAACCTGCCCGTAAAGATGGTTTCACTGCAGTGCGAAGAATGCTATGCTAGGAAAATGTTTATTAAAAAATATATTTTAAATTTGCACTGACGCAAAACCCCACTTCCAAGTTAAGCAATTATTCTTGCATCAAATAATCATATCTTTAATATTTAAAAGCTTGTTGTACAAGATTATTCATTCCAAGTATAGTAAATTTTGAAACGTAATGTATTTTACCGGTTTAAACTCTGCTACTCTTCAAGTTGCTTCCGCTTCACTTAAAACCAAAATGAATGACATTTGCGCATGCCTTGTTCCAGTTTTAAAAAAATTTTATGCAGGTTAGTTGGGTCATGACAGATATGCTCATTTTTCTTTTTAAAATGAGTACAACATACCATTTGGGCTATTCGATTAGAACATATTATACCAAGTAATTATTTGCTTCATTCATTTCGAAGCTAAAATTTACTATTATGTACTTGTGCATCCTTATGAATGACTATTTGATGTAAGGATGACATATTTGACAAATGAACGACTATTTGATGAATGACTACTTGACTACTTGACTTGAATTTGACTCCACGGCAAAACGAGAGAGAGAGAAGGGGGTCATTATCCGACCCCGAGTGCTTTGAAGACGCCGCTGCTACGTCGTCCCGCAGTCACCCCTGAGGAAGGAACCAAGTCGGTTTCAAAACGTCAAGTTTCTTCAAAACTTTTGGTTGGAGTTTAAATCATCTGACGGGGACGAAGAAACATGACGGGGACAGAGAAACTTCCACTCGTGATAGGGAAATAAAAAAATCCAAGATGTTTTAAATGCGTCGCTCCTTGTGTGATATGAAGCAAATTCGAAGATGCAAAACCTCTTCGAAGAGTATTTTCCCAAGCTCGACCGGCGGTATGAACAACTAAATCGCAAGGTGCTGATGTTCGTCGATAACTGCGATGCCCATGGGCATGTCGACCAGTTGAAGGCTATCACAGTGAAGTTTTTGCCGCCTAACACGACAAGCATGTTGCAGCCCATGGACCAGGGCATGATCAAAAACTTAAAAGCTCATTACTGGTCACGCCTCCTGAATCATATGCTGTTATGCGTCGACAGTAACAAAAATTACGTGGTGGATGTTCTGACAGCCATCAACATGTTGTCCGATGCCTGGAAGTCAGAGACTCAGGAAACAATCCATAACTGCTTCTGCCACACAGGATTTATGACTGGGATTGAAGAGGATAGTGCCACAGGCCACGACCCCGCAGTTGAGAGTCCGCCTACTGCAGCAGTGGACATTTTGGATGACCTCCGCGCTAGCGGGGTCAATGTGGGGGCGGGTACATTTGAAGAGTTTGCCAACTTCGACAGTGCCGTCTTGCCTTGCGCAGAGTTGGACGGTGATGAAGTCGTTCGTCAGATCTGCGAGCCGGCATCTGGTGGACAGTGACTCCGACGATGATGCGCCACCCGCACCACAGCCATCAAATGCGGACTTAGCGCAAGCCATATCGATGCTGTTGTCTGTTCACAGCGACAGCCAGACACTCGCAGAGGTACAGGCCGACGTGATCGTGGATAAGCCTGTGTGTGTGCAGACGCGCATGGACAGTTTTTACGGTGATCGGGCCAATAAATGTGCTTTTTTTAGTGAATCTGTTTTTTCGGACTCCCGACTATTCAGACTTTTTGGTGGTTCCCGTCGAGTCTGAAT